TGTAGTTCTTCAAAACTGACCGTAGTGTTGCCACCTCTTGAACTTTTTTATATTTGATTTAAAACCTGGAATACCTTTTATTTCATTCTTGATCTTTTTGACTCTTTTTTTTATTAAATGCTGGAGGATACATGCAGGTGCAAGAGAGGGAGAGAGAAAGAGAGATGAAAGAGGGGGAGGGAGGGCGGAGAGAAAAAAGAGAAGACATCCCCCAATGGGACCTGGTCACGCCACAGTCCTTTTTGTGCCACTTCTCCATCCTGTCAGGATCCGGAGCAGCTGGTATGTATTTCAAGCTGCCACAGCTGGGACTTGAACCTTGGTCACTTGGTCAGCCTTGTGGGATGTTGTTTTCTCTGAGTAGCACTTAATCTTGTGTTATGGGGTTATACCTACTTGACTCTGAAGAGTCCGTTAGGAATCAACTCATATCAGTCTTGACATGACAGTGACAGCGTCACTCTTCCTGCTTATCTTCCTCCAGCTCTCCAGGTTGAGTTGGCTCCTCTGTTCCCACAGAGCTCCCTGCTTATCTCTACGATAGTACTCATCATTCTGTATTGTAACTGTCTCTATATTCCTGGGAGACATCGGCTATCTCTGACAAACAATAATTCAAACGAGTGAAATACTCTATTGACTTATATACACGGTTATATTAAAATGTGTCTATTTGCATTTCTGTTTTCCCTAATAACCTTGGAAAGAGCAAAGACCAAATTCTTCATCTTTATATCCTTAGTTGATGATACAGTTCTTGGCTCATAATAGATGCAGAGAGAATGGTGAATTTATGAACAACTTAATGAATGGCAGAGTTATCTTTTTAGAATTAAAGAAAGTGGTATCTTATTGATGGATTGATTGATTGATTGACTGACTGACTGACTGGAGAGGTTTTGCTACAGGGTATGTGCTCTCGCCAGAAAGACAGAGAAACAGAAAGTGAGAAATTACCCCTCAGGATGGATGGCCATGCTGCAATCCCTTCTCCATTCTCTTCTCAGGATCTTGGGCACGCACGCACGTGCGCCCAGTGTGAGTTTAAGTCACCGGGTCCAGAACTTGACCTATGGTCAGTCCAATGGCAGTCCAGCGACATAGCCATTATGCCAAATGCTGGTCCCAAAAGTGGTATCTTTTTTTTTTTTTTTTTGGAGAGGTTTTTGCTATAGGGCGTGTGAGCTTGCGAGAAAGACAGAGAGATAGAAAGTTAGAAATTACCCCCCAGGAGAGATGGCCTTGCCACAATCCCTTCTCCTCCATTCTCCTCTCAGGATCTTGGTCATGCACACACATGTGCCCGGCATGAGTTTAAGCCACTGGGTCCAGGACTCAAACCGTGGTCGGCTACATGGGAGTTCAGCGACATAACCATTATGCTAACTGCTGGTCCCCCAAAAGTGGTATCTTATTTTGACCATATAGGTACAGGTGAGATATCTGCATAGGGCTTATACTGAGTAATTGAACATTCTCAGTTTCTTCTACATACTAGAATTGGTAGTTTATTTAAAAAGACTGTCTGTACAATATGAAATAAAATAACTATTTGACAGGTCAGTATTTTATGTGTCAAGCAAGTAATACAGACAGATCTTGCTTCAGTGTCAGACTAAATAGAACATTCTTTTTTTTGGAGAGCTTTTTTTTGCTATAGGGCACGTGTGCTCGACAGACAGACAGAGACAGAGAGACAGAAAGCGAGAAATCATCCCCCCGGGGGGGATGGCCACGCTGCAGTCCCTTTTCTTCCATTCTCCTCTCGGGATCTTGGGCACGCACGCACAGTGCCCAGTGTGAGTTTAAGCCACCTGGTCCTGGACTCGAACCACGGTCAACTACATGGGAGTCCAGCGACATAGCCATTATGCTAACTGCTGGCCCCAATAGAACAGAACATTCTTAATCAAATCATTGAAAGTCTAGTACTTAGGCCTGGTAGGTGGCATGTTGGTTGGGGTGCTGGATTCCCACATGGCCAATTGTGGTTTGAGTCCTGGGTTTGGGGGTTTGCTTTCGCACTTTCTCTTTCCCACTTTTCTCTGGTGAGTGCACGTGCCCTAAACAAGTTAAAAAAAAAAAAAAAAGAATTCCAGTGACTGGTGAGGTTTGAGTGTGATGGCGGAGTCTCCCGCGTCTCTCTCAGGACAGGGAATGGGGAAGGCATGGAAGCTTAAAAAAAAAGCCTGCTTTTCTTCTTTCAGAGTTATGGAATGAATTGCAGACAGAAAAGCCAATGGTCTCTTTGGTTGAGAAGTATGTTGATTCTGAGGCATGGAATCAGTACCTAAAGTTATCAACAGTCTTTTAAGTGAAAGTGATGGGAAACCAGGGTGGTTCCACTCACCAGGATTCGTGGGATGCTACATGAATCGCAGAATTCATGAAGCAGTCACTCAGGGTCCACCAATTGATGACTTCAATGTATATAGGGAGTCAAAAGAGCAAAATCACTCTGAGTTGCAGGACTCTATCATTGCTTTATGTACTTATCTATAGGAGTTGATGAGAACAATTGAAGATCTAGATGGAAATCAACTGAACAATGAGTTCTTTAAATTTTTGCAGGTTTTACTGTGGGGAAATAGTTCTCAGAAGATGAGTATAATAAATTCTCTGGAAGGCTGAAACCTTTCATCTTAGTGAATGACTGAGCATCTTTCGTCATTGCTTTGCCATTGGAAGCAAACAAGAGAAAAAGCATCTATTAGAGGGGATATTAATCTGGATAATGCTGGGTTTGAACTTGTTACAAATTTAGTATTAATCAACTTCTTGTTGTCCTCCAAACTGGTTACTGAGGTCCATTTTTATGGAAAAATGATTCCATGGTTTGTATCTGATATCACACAATTTTAATTGGTTCGTTGGACAAATAAAGCACTGTAACCATAAGTGGATGACCAAGTGTGGGGCGGACTTGGAAAACTATGTCAAAGTGACTAGATAGATGGGTTTACCACGATCATATATTTTGGACCCTGCCTCACGAATACCGTGCAATGCCTCAGGTGGCTCCTGCCTTATATGCCAAACTACAGGAGACACATTTAATTTTATTCAAGGGTGATTCGAATGATAGGAAGGTGACGCGTGACAGAAAATGGGAGTTTACCATCCCATTTCACCAGCCCTGAATGGCTTCCATCCCGCCCCTTCTGCAGCATAAGAGCATTTAAGGCTGAGGTTCAGGTTGGTCTGGAGCCAGGGTGAGGTGAACAGCCCTCAGCTGCGGGGACTCACCGCTGACCACCGGGAAATACGGAGTGTTTCAGTTTGATGGTCCCCTTTGACTCGGTCTGGGAACTCTCGGTGGTATAGAATATCTGCGAGCACCATTTCGTCCCCAGAGGGGTGGTGCGTGAATTTCGTCACTGGGCTGTTTGCATTAGCTCTGGCAAGTTCAGCTTCTTGGTGCTCATGTACGTTTACTCTGGGTGATTTCCCCTTTAGACATTTGGCCCAGCGCCATTGTTTTGGGAATAGATGGTTTCAGAAAGCTACAGATATTTACATTTAATTTATTTCAAGTTAAACGCATAGTTTAAGTGGTTTTAGTGAACTTATTTTTAATTGGGTAGAGAGCAAAAACAAAAGGCAATTCTGTCTTTAAATGTGCGCTGCATGGTATTTAATAGCCGAGGAAGCATGGGATTTTATTTAACTTGATTTTGGGCTCTTGAAATAATGGCTCAGTGAAAATATGCAGTTTATGGGAACCAGCAGTTAGCATAATGGCTATGTCGCTGGACTCCCACGTAGTTGACCGCGGTTCGCGTCCCGGACCCGGTGGATTAAAACTCAAGCCGGGTGTGTGTGCGTGCGTGCCCAAGATCCCGGGAGGAGAATGGAGGAGAAGGGATTGTGGCGTGACCATCCCCCCTGGGGGGTGATTTCTCGCTTTCTGTCTCTATGTCTCTCTCTGTCTGTCTGGCAAGCGCACACGCCCTATAGCAAAAACCTCTAAAAAAAAAATGCAGTTTATGAGCTAAAAGTTTTTGATATGTAAAGTAAATGTTTGTGGAAAAATGTAAAAATAAATAAATGAAAGAAAAAAAATGCAGTTTAATAACCCTTTGTAAAGAGGCATTTCTTTCAACTGTGATGTTTGAATCTATAAAACTTACCTCATAAGTTAATTCTCATTTTTGTTCTACTGGATTTTATTTCGGTAGCCTGTTTTATTTGCATGCATTTGTATTTTGATTGACCTATGGAATGTATGCTAGGAAACACACAAGTGAACACAGTAATATGAATACTACTTGAAGAAATGCATTATCTTTATCTTTTGTATTTTATCTATGATATCCGTAATGAGTTGGGAGTATTTTACCACATAAGCATTTTAAATGAACAGATTTTTAGTTCACACTTTTTAGAAAAATACTTTATATAGAAAATCTTTTATACATCAGATTTGGAGTACTATAAGCAATTAATTAATTTTTTATATTCTCACATATTTTATTGGTCATCACTACAGATACTAAAGACTAAAAATTTCAAGTCAGTTTGTTTTAAAACTGAAATTGGAAATAAACCTGGACGTGTTTCTTGGCACTAGAATAAAATGAATTATGCTGGGAGAAAAAAAGAATAACAAAGATAAATTTAAAAAAATTTTAAGAATTATTTTATTTAACTTTATTTATTTATTTTAATTGGACCAGAGATGGACAGAGAGAGAGAGAGAGAGAGAGAGAGAGAGAGAGAGAGAGAAAGTGACAAAGCAAGCTGCCAGGTCCAGGACTCAAACCCTGGGCGGCAATGTGGGAGTCCAGCACCCTTAACCACTATGCCACCTGCCGGCCCCAATAAATAAAATTGTTCAAAAAAAAAAAGAAAAAGAAAAAGTCTACTACCTAGAGCAAATACGTGGGCTATGGCCATTAATTAGTTGGACTGATTAAAGTGGAAGCCTGAAGACGACTTTGTCTTTCTATTTTACTTGGCTTATGTGCTGCTTATTTTGGAGTTTTCTTTTTTATTTCTAGGTCCAAGACAACTTTGACAAGATTGAATTCAATAGGATGTGTTGGACCCTGTGTGTCAAAAAAAACCTCACCAAGAGTCCCCTGCTCATTACAGAAGAAGATGCATTTAAACTATGGGTTATTTTCAACTTTTTATCTGAAGACAAGTATCCATTAATTATTGTGCCGGAAGAGGTAAGGTGTGGCTTTTAATACACCCAGCACAGAAATGTTTGTGTTAATTAAGTGTAGATATGGAAGGAGAGCCTTGACTGGTGCTTTTGGAACAGAGACAGAAACAGCTTGAATCCAGGAAGGCCTCAGACAGCGATTGGAGGCATGAGATATCCCTGCAGATTTGAGCGGGTGGGCCGCCTCCCCTCTGCATTGTTGTAATTACGCATGAGTCCGTCCCAAGTCAGCACAGGTCACATCCTCATTCTCTGTCTACTTGCACATTGGCAAAACCGTAAGAACTGGGTGAGGGATGCTATCTGGGAAGCTCGTACGATCCAGAATGTGGTCTCAAGGCTGTTTTATATGAGTAAATACTATTCTTGTTTTAAAGTGCAGGATGGTGACTTTCTGTAGTTTCCAAAGTAAAAGAAAAAGAACAGTTGCTCGTTTTGCTCTGGGTTATTTTCCCTAAACTTGCAAAGGAAACACAAACAACAACAAAAAAGCTCATGCTTATTCTACTATAATAGGCTTATTATACATGCAATACAAGCCTATTATAGTAGAAAAGTATAAAAGTTATACATGTAATACAAGCCTGTTATAGTAGAAAATCTAGAAAAGAGTAATAGTATGCAAACTTAAACTCTACCATAGTTCTCCACTTAGAAAAAGTTGTCTGTGGGCCCACCTGGGGTGACAGGGCATTGCTATACAATACTGGAGCCAGCTGGGAAGGCTGGGATTTGGATCCTGGGCCATCCTGAGTATGCCAGGCATGCCCTCGGCACACCCAGGATTCTGACTGGCTGGAAGGCTGGTGTGGGGGGTTTATATCATGTTGTGCTGAGATTCTGTCAAGAGTCTTGGTTTCTCTCTCAATGAAAGAAAGAAACTTAAAGAAAAAGCCATCTGTTATCCCTTAACCTTGGGCAAATTATTTAATCTCCCGAGTCTTAGTTTCCTCATCTTTGAAACAAGGCTAATAGTGCTTATTCTAAGGGTTGTGAAGTCTTTCTTAATTCAACGCCTGGTAGGTACGTCCACTCAGCGAGTGTGTCACGTTCAGTGACTACAATTACTGTGTACGTTTTGGCACACTAGTCTGCTTATTTTCCTAAGATAAATTTCCCACAGTGGAATTTGCAGTCTGGAGAAATGTACACTTCCTCACTCCTTCCCTTTCTTTTTTGCAAGGAAGAAAGAAAGGGAAA